ATATGGCAACACTATCAGTATAAAACAAACATAATGATGCAGTATTAATAGCATAAAATTAACGGTAGTATACAGTACATACTTGTGTAATAATTTTAGAGCCACCTCCTGATGCTGTTGCAGTGAGCTCAAGTGATGCAAGTACCCCTTAAAATGCTGTGTGACACTAATCATCTCCATGTGAGCAGTTCCTCTCTCTAGTAAATTGCATGTTGCAGTAAAAAGTGATCTCTCGTGGTTCTTGTGTATTTTTTATTATGTTTAGTGCAATACAGTAAACCTTCAATAACATCATGATATCCATTAGAAACTGCCACTAGTAATGCTGGAAGTGCTCTCAAGAAGCAGAGAAAAGTCATGACATTACAAGAAAAAGTTGAATTGCTTGATGTATGCCACAGATTGAGGTCTGCAGGTGCAGTTGTCAGCCATTTCAAGATAAATGAATCCAGCATAAGGACCATTGTAAAAAAAGAAAACCAAACTCATGAAACCAGGCAGCAACTACACCAGCATTAGTATTAGTTAAATTTTGGAGGATTCAAAAGTTATACCTGGATTTTTGACTGCATGGGAGTCAGTACCCCAATACCTGTGTTGTTCAAGGTCAACTGTATATTGATATTTGTATGCATTTGCCTAAAGAAAGGCTAAAAAGGCCGGGCGCAGTGGCTCACACCTGTAATCCTAGCACTCTGGGAAGCCGAGGCAGGCAGATCGATCAAGGTCAGGAGTTCAAAACCAGCCTGAGCCTGAGCAAGAGCCAGACCCTCATCTCTACTAAAAATTAGAAGATATTAATTGGGCAACTAAAAATATATAGAAAAAAAATTAGCCAGGCATGGTGGCACATGCCTGTAGTCCCAGCTACTGGGGAGACTGAGGCAGGAGGATCGCTTGAGCCAGGAGTTTGAGGTTACTGTGAGCTAGGCTGACACAACAGCACTTTAGCCCGGGCAACAGAGTGAGACTCTATCTCAAAAAAAAAAAAGGCTAGAAGAATATAAAGAGACTATTAAAAGTGTTTGAGGGCCGGGCGCTGTGGCTCACGCCTGTAATCCTAGCTCTTGGGAGGCCGAGGCGGGCGGATTGCTCAAGGTCAGGAGTTCAAAACCAGCCTGAGCGAGACCCCGTCTCTACTATAAAATAGAAAGAAATTAATTGGCCAACTGATATATATATAAAAAAATTAGCCGGGCATGGTGGCGCATGCCTGTAGTCCCAGCTACTCGGGAGGCTGAGGCTGGAGGATCGCTTGAGCCCAGGAGTTTGAGGTTGCTGTGAGCTAGGCTGACGCCACGGCACTCACTCTAGCCTGGACAACAAAGCGAGACTCTGTCTCAAAAAAAAAAAAACAAAACAAAAAACAAAAGTGTTTGAGAAAGGGCATGGAACTGGGTGGATGGGGGACAGGCATGGGAGTAAGACTTTTTACTGTTTATATAAATTTATATATTAAATATATTTTTATAGGTAACCACTTGAACGTATTATCTACTCAAAGATTTTTTTAAAAAACCAACTACAGCTCACAGAGGATAAGTAATTTGCCTACCATCATACAGTTAATAGTAATAGAGTTGATTATAATTAGGACTTTCCTAATGTTTTTTTTTAAACTGCCTTTCTGAAATTTTCAGGAATGGAAGATTCAAAATTTATCACAAGTAGCCTTTTCTCTGAAACACATACTCTTTCTGAGTGTTCAGCAAAAATAACACTAGTGAGACCACACTGAAGTCATCTCCATATGATGACTTGGAAAAAAGTATAATACCCATTGTTGGGCCAAAACATTCACCATCACCCACACAATACAATGTAATGATTAGGCTTCATCCACTAGGAGACAAATTTCCCATAAATGTCCTTATCATAGGTTTCAAATTCCAACACAACATTCATTTTGCAAAACAAAATGAAGTGTATGACACTAAGAATATATCTATAAACATTTTCACTTACTACTCTAAATAAGCCAGGGACTGAGCACACGTAAATGCATACTTTTATTTTTATAATTAACTCAAACGTTAAGTACAAAATGTTATTGGCGATCCTGGGGTGGAGAGTCCCTAGCCTCCCAGCACAAATATTTTTAAACAGAATTAAGGCCCATCATATGCAAAAGTACAAAGGATTTGTGTTTGAGAGTCCATCCCAAACATACATCTGTAAGAATAACACATCATATATATCCAGAGCATCAAGTATCTGATGATATCACCATTAATTAACACAAAAACATCTGTATCATCTAGTACTACTTTCTAACAAGTGCTGAAGAACCTCCAATCCAATTCTGGGTCCCTCCTTGATGAGTGGCCCCACCTATAGGACCTATTATATCCTCTGCTCCATCTCCTGCTATCACACTTGGAAACTATGATATTCATATTGATGACATATTCATCACAGCCCCCTAACCTCCCACTACATCAATAACTTACACCTCCATTCCCCCTCAATAGCACTGAGACAGTTACACCAGTTTTTGTCTTTTTCCTTGAAATACTGAACTCTGAGCTTTCCAATTATGACTTTCTTTGCAAAACCTGGTTAAAACCGTATTTCTGATTACCTTTTTATTCTTCAAGTTCACCAGCCTCCCTGTAGGTTTTGCCTCTTATAATCTCCAGCTTGGACCCTCAGAGTCGATCATATCTCCCTACCACTAGCAGTGTAAAGTTGCTCCCCACTTTATCTTTCTGTCCTATAAATTCCAATCGTGGATCAATCTAACCATCTTTTTTGCCCTCCTGCTCTTAGGCTGTTGAAGACAGTGTGAAATCCATTACAAATATATTATTTCTAACTAACTGGGCCCTCAATGTAATCAGCAATCTTTTTTAAAACAAATCCTTAATCTAGGCTGGTCGGAAGGTAGTGAGTTATCTCAGTTGACTGTTCACAGTCAGTTACAGATTGAACTCCTTGTTCTACTACTTTCTTCCCTTCTTACTACTGCACTTGACTAGTCTAAAAAAAAATCCTTAATATATTTCCCTTTCATTTTCCATTTAAGATTCCCATGGCTATAATACTCAAGTCAGAAACTCACCACAGTTTCTTCAGTCTCCAAACATAATCCACTTCACAAGTAACTGATCACATCAAGAAAATAAGGCCATCTATTAAACTCTCTCACCTTCCTTCCATTCTACCACATCATTATCCATCTTGACTTCTATCCTTTTGGTATCAAAGAATGAAATGCCTGATATATTTCCTAGGTAAACTTTTCCCCCAACCTATGAAACTATTTCATCCATACTGAAAAGAAAAATACATGTGCCATAATGGAAATAACTCAGGTTTCAGAACTAGACATACCCATTCAAATCCTCACCTACAGTCTTTCCAACTGTGAAAGAGGGATACTAACACCTAAACCACAAGGCTGCTGTGATCTATAAAGTATCTTTATGCTACCTGGCATACTCAATAAAGATGAGTATATTCTCAATAAAGACCAGTTCCATTAGTACCAATTCTCCTTCACAACACTGTTGAAAAAGTAATTTTATTCACTGCCTGTCATTTATTCCTCAATCCATCATGATCTGACTACTGTCATCATTGCCACCACTATACTACCAAAACTGCCTTTCAAAGGAAACAAGTGACTTCCTAATTGCTAAATTCAGTGGCTTCTTCTCAATTGACCGCTGGAGCACCTGACATTGATAGTCATCCCCTCCCTTCTTGAAACCCTTTCTTCCTTTGGCTTCTATTATAATGCCATTCTGTTCTAGCTCTTGCCCCATTCCTTTAACCTCTCTTTTTCAGTGTCTAATACCCTTCAAACAATGAAGTACCTTCTGGTCCACAGCCCTTCTCTTCTTTCAGTATTATCAGCCCATAGTTAAGGCTTCAAATGTCCCCCATATTCTCTTGACCCTCAATTTTATGTATTCAGTTCCAACCTATCTCCCAATTTTCAGACCCAAATTTCCAGCTACCCTGAGTGATATCTGAAAAATACCTCAAACTGAACTTGTCCAAAACCAAATTTATTACTTTCCCTCAAAACTGTTCCTTTATGCTTCCTATTTCAACTAACACCACCAATTCACACCATCAGCCAAGTCAGAAACCGCCCACTAATCCTCTCAACACTATTTTGGACAATCCCTCTTGGAACTGCATGTCATTTTCTCACCACCACCCCAGTTCATTGCCTCTCGCCAGGATTAGCACACTAGTTTCCTGCCTACCTAGGTTTTCCGCCTCCAGTCTTCACTTTCAATTCTTCCTCTACATTTTCACCACAGACAATGCAATCATATCAAACTTCTGCTTACAAAACCTTCAACGGCTCCGCAAGCCTACAGAATAAAGTCCAAATTCTTTAACATGTTTTTCTCAGAAGTATAAATTTAAAGGTTTTTAAATTAGACAAATCTGGGTTTCATTTCTAGGTAAATATGAATACTGGCCTCATCCAGAGTCTTCAAAGTAAAAGGTAAAATGCAGAGGAGGGAAAAGGAGGGGAGAGGAGATTATGGGTGACCAGGGAGAGGAGGAAGACAGTAGTGTCTGAGGGGAGGGAAGTATTTTTCGAGGGTAGAAGTGGACGTTTTCGAGGGAAGAGCATGTTTGAGCAAAGTGAAGGAGTCCAGCTCTCTTGAGGGAGGAGTGGGGAGTTGCAGGTCTCCCAAACAAGAGCTTTAGGAGAAAACGAAGGATTCCTGAATCTCTGAAGTGAGAAAGGTCCCCGATAAGAGGCAACTTCTAATGGGTTCCCAGTCCCTGAGTGGGGAAGGCGCTGGGGGTGGGGGGCTGTCACAGAACCCTGATGGAAGTGAGAAGGGAAGGGGAAAGGAGCCAAGAAGGGGAGCGTCCCTAGCCACTGAGAAGAGGACCTCTGGGAAGCTGAGGAGTCCCGTCGGGTGCTAAGAGACCCGAGTGCCAAAGCTGCGGGCCGAAGAGGTGTAACAGCCGCGCGCGCAGGCCGGGATGCCCCCGGGTTTGTGCCCCACGCACTCTCTTCACGTTACCTGAGGCAGGACTGAACAGCCAGAGGGGTGCCTGCGCGGGCGGGAGGGGAAGGCGGCAGCAAAGAGGGAGCATAGTAACCCTCACAGCTCCGTGGCGGCAGCGGCTCCTTAGCCTGCGGAGGCGGTGGGGGTCCCTCGCCCAGAAGCCGGCGACACGATGGGGTTAGTGGCAGCGGAGGACGAGGAAGCTACTGCCATGGCCCCACAGTCGGGCCGCTTACCCCACCCCGCCTGTTTGGATGGGCCAGGAGGACTATCCGACCAGTGAGACTCAGAAGCCAGCTGGTAGCTCCGCTGACCTCCCCGGCCGCGAGCGACTGAAACGTCTGCCCACCGCTACAGGCAAGCTGGAGGCGGGGCCTCAGCGGCCCCGCCCCACTCCTCGAGCCCTCCCTTTGAGCAGCCAATCAATAGTCAGTCCTTGATAAACGAGGTAGTAGAATTGCCCAATTAGCGTTAGGAATGCCACGTGGTATGAGGGTGGGCACAATGGGCGTCCAGAAAAGCCAATCAACAGCCCTAGGCGCCAACTCTGGAGGACAAAGGGAACCAATGGGAAAGAAGAGGAGGTAAAAACAGAAGAGGCAGTGTGTTGGAAAGGCGGAACCGAGAAGTTGGGAATACACCTGGGGGAAACCCAAGTCCAGGAGCCTCTCAGAGGGAGGGACAGTAAACACAAGATGGACCAATCAAAATGCTAAACACAGAAGCGATAAGTAATTGATAAAGCCAGTTGAAAATGGACTAGACCCCCGCGGCATTCGGGTTGGTCAAGGTATAGCTGAGTAAGGAAAAGCCTTAAGAATGAGGCGTCCTGCAGTATCTCAGTATAGTACGGAGAAAAAACTGATATATACATAATTATTAGCGACTTGAGATAGTAAGAGCAGTGAGTAGAGCCAAACAAAATGCTGAGGGAGCAATAGACTGAAAGATTCGATGTTGTGACGGCTTAGAGAAGGTATAATAACACTTGAGCTAGCTTGAAAACAGAAGAGACTTTGAAAGAGCTGGATGGGGAGTAAGAATTCTCTCCAACTGTTTAACAGGCACATATTTCCTCACGCTTTCCGTATGCTTGAACCTCAGGAACTCATAATCTCATACCTGAGCAGAAAGGAACAGAAGGGCAAGAGCAGACAGGAACCATGGAGTTTGTGCTTTACTGGACCAGCACTCCCTGTGGCTAGAGTCCTTCTTTCAGATATCTTTAGACTTCCTTCCTCCTGGAAGGGAGGTGGGGAGTCTTAACAGACGAATGGGTAAAACATTGGGGTATCATTGCATTCCTGGTGACTATAAGGTTTGAGAAATATGTGTGGTAGAAGATATTGAAGAGAAAAAAGACTGAACGTGCATTGGGCTTAAATGCCAAATTTGTGCTTTATTTTTTATGCTGTGAGAGCTATTCTTGAGCAGGAGTGTAATCTAAGCAGGGCACTGTTTTAGGAAGATTAAATGATAGCTCATAGGATCTCCGAAGAGAGAAAAGAGCCCAGCCCAGTCCCCCTGGCCCCAAAGCCTTTTTGTTACCATTCTTCTGGCAACAAATCATGTGCTGCCACCTGGTGACAGTTCGAATATCATTGTTCCATCTTGCTATTTATTATTTCTGTTGTGAGATCCTTGGAACCCCTTGCAAGCCTGTCTCCCACAGAGTTTGATGCAAAGTAGTTAATAAATAAGCACTGGTAGCAAGCAGAATTGAATAATCTCACCATGCCAGATGTATCACCTGCCCAGTGAAAGATGTAAATGACAGGGCTTTCTTGCACCTGCTTCAGCAGAAAGATGAGGCTCACTGTCTGCTAGTCAGGACAGGGCCTTGAATGTATCCCATAACTAAAGGTAGTTCCTACACTACTCACCTCAGCCTTTTATTATGCTTTTATTTCAGATAATTGTCTCCTCTCTCCAGCCAGACTGATCTGAGAACTGAGACCTTCATATGAGCCCACTGCACATCCTAGCTCAGGGAAAATATATGGCAGGATTGCTCTCAATAAACATCCACTGATGGTCAGATGGCATTATCTTTTGACTACATTTAGCAGCAGAAGAGGCCTTATGAGGCCTTAGTGAGACACTGCTGCCTCTACAGAAATCCTGGAAAATACTGTTTAGAACACAAAACCCAGGCTGGGCGCGGTGGCTCATGCCTGTAATCCTAGCATTCTGGGAGGCCAAGGTGGGCAGATCGTTTGAGCTCAGGAGTTCAAAACCAACCTGAGCAAGAGCGAGACTCCGTCTCTACTATAAATAGAAAGAAATTAATTGGCTAACTAATATATATAGAAAAAATTAGCCAGGCATGGTGGTGCATGCCTGTAGTCCCAGCTACTTGGGAGGCTGAGGCAGCAGGATTGCTTGAGCCCAGGAGATTGAGGTTGCTGTGAGCTAGGCTGATGCCATGGCACTCACTCTAGCTTGGGCAACAAAGTGAGACTCTGTCTCAAAAAAAAAAAACAAAACAAAACACAAAACCCAGTGAGGAAAAAGCAAAGCTGCTCTTAGTCACATAGAAAGATGTACAGTCGTCCTTGGTATACCTTGGGGAATAGTTCCTGAACACTGAGAATATACCAAAATCTGTGTATACTCAGGTCTCAAAGTCAGCCCTCAGGAACATATGTATTAGAAAAGTCATCCTGTGAACACATTTGGGGCAAAAAAGAAAGAAAGAAAACTCAGCCCTCTATATACACAGGTCTCATATCCCAGAATACCATATTTTTTATCCATGTTTTGTTTGGTTGAAGAAAATCTACATATAAGTGAACACTTGCAGTTCATGCCCATGTTATTCAAGGGTCAACTGTACTTTTCAGACAGCAAATAAGTGGAAAAAGGATCAGAATCATTAGCCACAGGCTTTTTTTAAATGAAATATAATCACAATATCAGAGTATTAATCCCAGCACTTTGGGAGACTGAGGCAGGAGGATCACTTGAGGCCAGGAGTTTGAGACTAGGCAAGGCAACATAGCAAGACCCAATCTCTACAAAAAAAGAAAAGAAAAAAAAATTATCAAAGTGTATCACTCATAGTAAGAATAAGAACTGAGGCTGGGCATGGTGGCTTATGCCTGTAACCCTAGCACTTTGAGAGGCCAAGGCAGGAGGATTACTTAAGGCCAGGGGTTTGAGACCAGCCTGGGCAACAGCAAGGCCTTGTTTCTACAAAAAATTAAAAAATTAGGCTGGGCGCGGTGGCTCAGGCCTGTAATCCTACCACTCTGGGAGGCCGAGGCAGACGGATTGCTCAAGGTCAGGAGTTCAAAACCAGCCTGAGCGAGACCCCATCTCTACTATAAAAAAAATAGAAAGAAATTAATGGCCAACTAATATATATAGAAAAAATTAGCCGGGCATGGTGGCGCATGCCTGTAGTCCCAGCTACTCAGGAGGCTGAGGCAGGAGGATTACTTGAGCCCAGGAGTTTGAGGTTGCTGTGAGCTAGGCTGACGCCATGGTACTCACTCTAGCCTGGGCAACAAAGCGAGACTCTGTCTCAAAAAAAAAAACAAATTAGCCAGGCATGGTGGTGCACACCTATAGTTGCAACTTCTCAGGAGGCTGAGGAAGGAGAATCGCTTGAACCCCCAGTTACAGGTTTGAGGTTGCTATGATGATGTCATTGCATTCTAGCCTGGGCAACAGAATGAGACCTTGTCTCAATTAAAAATAAAAAAAGAATAATCATGAATCATGAAAATTTTGTTTCAGTATATTTATTATACTAAGTCACAATATAGTTATTTCTTACTGGAGGTCACACAAAAAATCTGAAAGCCTCACAATCAGAGGCAGAAGACTGAAAAAAGGGAGACCATGGAGAAGGCTGACACAGAAATTCAGGCTGGGCTGCTGAGAATGAGGAGTTAAGGAGAGGCTGGAGTGAACCTGAAGGAACAGAAGCTAGAGATAAGGAAAGGAAGCCTCCTACTATCCAGGTCCAGGTCTCACCAGATCTCACCCTCCTCTGCATCCCCACAGCACTATTGCCCCAGAGCAGTGTGCTACGTCATTCTACTCACCACAATGAGAGCTCCCACCTCTTTCCAAGTTCAACTGAGCTTACACTCAGAAGGTATAGCTATAAGTGTCTATGAACTTGGATTTCAGTGGTAGAGGTCACAGGAAGCAGTCAAGTAACAGGAGCAAGAAAGGGTACAGCTAGTCTATCCCATGTGGGTACCGATTTACAGAAAATACATCAGGGAAGGTTAAACTATTTTATTCCAGTTGGGAGACAGGGATGGGCAGGCAGTGAAAAGCCTCAGTAGAGAGGGCAGATAACAGCTGGATCAAAAGAGGAGGAGCAGGTGGCCTAGAAAAAGGGTCTTGTAGGGGAGGGTGGGCAATGAAGCTTTCATCCAACTACTCTTTGTAAGTCCTTATAGGTCACTCAGGAGCATCTTGGGGCTGTGAAAGAAAGTCTCTTGTTCAAGACTCTGGGAGTGGAGGTGAAAGCTGCTGGGCTCCAAGTTAGAAAGGGTGTTCCTCTGGAGATCTAAGAGGAAGGAAAAGGGAAGAGAAAGCAAATCATCAGCAAGCACTATGATATGCACAGAACTAGGCCCTGGGCCTGTGTGATGGGGAGGGATATACAGGCCTAACTTGAGATAAGTAGCAACAGAGATTGATGAATTCACAAACAGGCAGAGACTCCATTCTACCCAGTGCTAAACAATTAGGCAGCTGGCATCCAAGAACCATTCAGATTCAGCCTCCCCCAAAACTGGGATCCCTGCTCTTACCCCTGCCTAGCTTCCATAAAAGTTCCCAGCTACTGTTACTGTCCAGAGGACTGACTTCTGAGCTAGATGAAGAAAGAGACATGGCAAAGGTGGTGGCCAGGGGCAGCTTAGATTGGAGGATATGAACGGAGGTCCTGGAAATGGGAACAGAATCAGAAGCAGACACAGTGATGATATGTCAAGGGAGCCCTCCCAGCACAAAACTATCCTTCCTGAGTCTCCTCCCTCTTTATATCCATATAAAGACTTCTCCGTAACTCTGTATCAAGTAAAGAATGCCCAATGTTGCCTTTATAGGCAACCCAGAAACTACCTCTACCAGGCCAGGCCAAAATCTAGGATACCTGAACTTGGGTCCCCAGTGCCTGACCTCTGTGAAAAAAATCCCCTCCACTGCCACAGCACCCATACCCCCTGACCTGAGGAGGTCATGCTTCTGCTGGACATCCTGGGCCTCTGTCCTGGCAGCTTCCAGGGTGTGACCTTTGCTTTCCTGGCCACTTTGCAGCTGCTCCAACATCTGCCAGACCACAGGCTCAGGTAGGACCAAACCTCTCTCTCTCCCCTCCCCATGATTATCCTCTTCAGCACACTTGGAACCCTCATGTGGCCAAGGACAGTTTCTCATGGCCTAGAGAAGAAGGACTGGGAAGGAGAGCTTTGGAGAGAGGTGGAGTCAACACAGGGAAAAGAAGGATAGAGGTGGGGGCAGGAGAGGGTATCCTGGCCTGCCAAACAGGATAGACAGAGAAAGGAAGGGGCTCCATGGAGAAATATGCAGAGCCAGGTACAATCCTGGTCCTACCTTCCAGCTGCAGGCCTGAGTCTGCCGCCCGTCAGCCATCTGTTTCAGCAGCAGCTCCTGGTGCTGGTCTACAGGTGAGAGAGCACATAAGAGGGCTCTTCCCCAACTTCTTTCCTTCAATCTCCCTGCCTTGTGACCAGCCTGTTGCTGAAAACTGAGACAGAAGCACTCTGGTCCAGCTGTTGGGAAGCTTCCAAGCTGACTGGAGAGATTAAACTTGCACCATGAGAGACAAAGAGCAAGACAAAATACTTGGCCAGACCTCTCAGTAGCTCAAGCAGTCAGAGCTAAGGCCACTTAATGGGATAGCAAGAAGGCTTTCCAGAAAAGGGGACAAGGGAAGACATATTCACTCCCAATCTTTTACTTACTCAGCTGGTCCCGCAGCAACTCCAGTTCCTCCCGAAGAATCTCTGACTCCTCCCACAGCCTTTGCCGCCTGCAGAAGTGTCAGCAGTATCACTCAACAAATCCAGAGAGAGGAGGCCACCAGCCTCCCAGAATGCCACCGTTCAGAGGCCCCCAAGAAGGCAAAGTCTTGCCCATCACTTACTCTGTCTGCAGCTCCTGATGAAGGCCACTGGTAGTGCTGCAGTTTAATGGTCCTGTTTGCATTTGGGCTTGGACTTGGGCCTGCTCCTGCACCTGGCTCCGAAGCCCCTGAAGGTCCCTTCTCAGCTCCTCCAGGCGTTGCTCCAGAAGAGCCCTCCCCTCTGGGCCCCCCTGCAGCAATCTTAGTGATGCTGTAGTGGGACAAGTTGGATGTCAGCCTATCTAAGAGCTTGACACATGAGCCTGACACTTTAGTTGTAAATCGAGACACATGTGCACACACAACAGGTGTGTGGCAAAATTGTATACATACATATGAAGTTGTGTGTATGAAGAAAAGAACGGGCCAGATACCTTCCAGGGCACTGATCTGGTACTTCTGCTGTTCTCGCTCTTCCAGCAAGCCTTGTACAGCCTGCCTTAGTGCCTCAATCACCTATCCAGGCAGAAAATATACATCAGCTACTATGTAAGAAGCTTTTCCCAAGCCCTAGTATTCTCATCTCACACAAACATCACATATACACACCTAGGGTTCCCAGCCTTACCTGAGCCTGAGATCGAAGCTGGGATTGGAGAATAGTAACTTCATCCCGGAGATGGGAAGGACTGTAGGCCTCAGGCCAGCTCAGCCTCTCTGGGACTGTGGGAGTCTCTAGAGCCCAAGGCTGTTCAGCTTGGACTCCTAACTGGAGAGGCAAATCACGAGAGGAAATCCAGGTCCCAGGCAGCTCCCCTGCTAAGAGAATAAGGGATAAGTGCAGGGTCTATCTGGGGGGGGGGGGGAACAGAGTTCAGGAAAGGAAAGAGTTGGGGAATTTGGAAAAAGCAGTGGATGATACAGACCCTGGAAGAGGGCAGTTCTTGGAAAGAGAAAAGGCTGGAAGTAGAATGGAACAATACTTACTTGCCATGGAGACCCCAAGAGGATACAGTCGCTGCTGCAAAAGAAACAGTTGCTCAAGCCAATGAGCTCTGAGAGTCCCTTAACGTGGTAACGCAAGCTGGGTGCCTCCACCAACCCCTCACCTTGATCCGAGCCACATTTCCATCAGTAGCGTTTAGAAGCGCATCAAGCTGCTCAGACCAGCTCACGCTCCTACTCATATCCTGTGGCAGGGGTCTGGGTCCCTGGAGTCTTGCGTCCTTGTTCTCCCAGCAGCGGATATCCAATATACAGCCCAGGAAAAGCCACAACGTTAGATCGAAAGAGGGAAATGAGGATGCAATACTAGAAGTAGGGAATGCAGTATCAGACCAAAATTGCGACTCTGTAACTAGGGAAGGGAGCGGTGCTCTTAGAGAACTGGGGGAAAATCGGTATACCCTAATGATACGCAGATATCAGGTGGGAGATGAAGGTGTCCAACCTTGGTCGAGACCACCCCAAATACAGGACACTGACGCCATCATGCCAAACCTGTGCCAGCGACAACTGCCGCCGCTGGGTTCAAATGTTTAGGTGGGGAAAACGTCGGGCTGACGTAGGGCTGGCTGCCGCAGGGTCACCTGGGAAATTGAGTAGGCCTCTCGCGGAGACAACGGGCGATGGAGGCAGCTGAACTACGTTTCCCTGGAGCGACAGGTGCAGCCACACCCCCAGCGTGAAGCCTGCCGGGAAACCGAGTCCTACTGAGTCTCTATGGTTGGCTCCGAGGGCCAAACGAACTACGCGCCCCAAGATGCATCGCGCAGGGCCAGCGATCTCCCGCTCCTGGTCCCAGTACTTTCTGGGAAATGGAGTCCAAGTGTCCTCTAAACGTAACGGTACTGTTATCTTTGAGACTCCATTCCCCAGCAAGCTCAGCGTGCAGCGTGCGCTATGGAGCCGCGAGTCGCAGAGCTGAAGCAGAAGATTGAGGACACACTGTGTCCTTTTGGCTTCGAGGTATACCCCTTCCAGGTTGGTTTATCCCTCGTGCGTTTCTAGGGTGAGCTGTATGACTGGCCTCGTTGCAACTGGTGTGAGGCCCCAGGGGCCTCTGATCTTCCCCGAGCTCCTCTGGCCGGTGTCCATCCGAGAACTGGGACAGAGTGTCAGCGGGGGGTTGGGTTAAAAAGGGAGAGAAGCGGTTGCATGTTTGTCCTTTTACCCCTGATATAATCCCAGATTGAAGAATGGAAGATACCATATGTTCCAGTGGCCTGTGTGACTCTGATTGTCACCTACGTAATTTACAGGAAAAAAGGGACCTGAAGGGTAGAGTCACCTTGGAAGCTTCCTGAAGAATTTAGGAGAGAGCAAGGCCTGAAAGGTTTGCATGGGTATGATTTAGGTCGTCTGAGGAGGGATGGACATTCCTGGTAACGAACACAAAAACAATTGGCTGCTTTGTCCATCTACCAACAGAAGGATAATTCATGATGTTGCCAATCGTCAGTGCCAGGCTGGGTATAGAAACTCTGTGCACTGCCTGGCACGGAAGTCTCGGCACCCTACTCCCATCCCCGTTTACATAGATTCTTTTTCCCCACATCAGTGCCCGTGCACTGAGCAGTATACTTAGGACACAAACTCAGCATGAGCCTTTTGCCTGATTCTTAAGAAACCACCTACTTCCCACTCTTTCTACTGAATGGCTCACATCAGTGCTGCAGGAGGATATAGAAGGAGAAATAGGCCCAGCGCGGTGGCTCACGCCTGTAAATCCTAGCACTCTGGGAGGCCGAGGCAGGCGGATTGCTCAAGGTCAGGAGTTTGAAACCAGCCTGAGCAAGAGCGAGACCGTCTTTATTATAAATAGAAAGAAATTAATTGACCAACTAATATATATAGAAAAAATTAATAATAATAATAATAATGGTGGCGAATGCCTGTAGTCCCAGCTACTCGGGAGGCTGAGGCAGAAGGATTGCTTGAGCCCAGGAGTTTGAGGTTGCTGTAAGCTAGGTTGATACCATGGCACTCACTCTAGCCTGGGCAACAAAGTGAGACTCTGTCTCAAAAAAAAAAAAAAAATAGAAGGAGAATAGGTTGGGTCCTAGCTTAAGAGAGGACCTTGCCAGTAAAAACGAATTGGAGGTATATATGGAAAAGGATGGACTGGAAGGCAAGATCATCATGTACATCCCAAACATCAGGAAATGCTTGTAAGAAGAATGTGGAGATATGGTGGTGGGCAAGGTGTGGGAGAGAATGAGAATGCTTTTTTGGTGAGTTGGTAGCACCTGGGTATACCAGCTATGTCTAAACGAGCCAACTGCAGCCCTGCCTGTCAATCTAGGCTTCTACCTCTCATCTCCCTTAACCCCCAACATCCAATCGCACCCAAACCCAATAGACATTGTCTCCTGTCAATCCTCCAAATCCCATTCCATCCATTTCACCCATCTATGGCTCTGTTCCAGCCACCATTTCTCACTTGATATGGTAATAATCCTCCTTGCTGTCATCTGCCTCCAATCCACATCCTCACACTTGCAGCCCCAGATTTTCTAAAACTGATCATAGCTAGTCTACTCTAAAATCTTCAGTGTCCTCATTGTCACAAATTAAATCCATATTCCTTAATTGGTATTCAACTTATAAATCTCACTCACTATATATCTCTTCATCCTTATCTCCTCTGATCCTTCTACAGCCCTTCACTTTCACCAACTAACCAATTTGCCTTCTTCAAATATGCCCAGTAATTTTCTGCCTATATCTTTGCTTTATGCTGTGATCTCTGTTTAAAATATACCCCCCCCCCAACCCAGGCCGGCGCCGGTGGCTCACGCCTGTAATCCTAGCCTCTGGGAGCCGAGGCGGTGGATTGCTCAAGGTCAGGAGTTCAAAACCAGCCTGAGCAAGAGCGAGACCCGTCTCTACTATAAATTAGAAGAAATTAATGGCCAACTGATATATATATAAAATTAGCGGGCATGGTGGCGATGCCTATAGTCCAGCTACTGGGGAGGCTGAGGAGAAGGATTGCTCGAGCCCAGGAGTTTGAGGTTGCTGTGAGCTAGGCTGACGCCACGGCACTCATCTAGCCAGGGCAACAAGCGAGACTCTGTCTCAAAAAAAAAAAAAATATATATATATATATATACACCCAGATTCTCCTACCCATGTCAACTTTACAATTTAATTTCCAGCCTCCAAGACTTAGCTTCTGGCTGGGGGTGGTAGCTCACACCTGTAATCCTAGCACTCTGGGAGGCCAAGGCAGGAGGATTGCTTGAGGTCAGGAGTTCAAGACCAGCCTGAGCAGGAGCCAGACCCTGTCTCTACTAAAAATAGAAAAAATTGGCCGGGTGCAGTGGCACACACCTGTAGTCCCAGCTACTTGGGAGGCTGAAATAGGAAGATTGCTTGAGCCCTGGAGTTTGAGGTTGCTGTGAGCTAGGCTGATGCCACAGCACTCTAGCCCAGGCAACAGAGCAAGACTCTGTCTCAAAAAAAAAAAGACTTAGCTTCTAAGAAGGCTTTTTCTGGTATCAGAGGACCCTCATTTGGTCCTATCATAGTTTAGTATATTCAAATTCACATTAATCGCATGTTTGCTTTACTGGTCAGTCAACCTCAAAAACATATGATTGCTGATGAAGTTTTATAGACCAATATGGTGTTAAGTGTAGTAACAAGAAGGTCCATCAAAAGCAGAAAAACCCCTATGCCACCATACCCAATGGGCTCAGTGTCAAGGGTTAAGTATGTTGGTAGCCTCAATTCACCCTTGACTGAAAAGAATGGTGTTTTAAGAAACTGCCTGTTCTCTGCAAAGCCAATTTCCAGAGTTAGTGTTATATACCCTGAAACTGTGACCTTATCTTTCAGCTCTCTGTATGGAGATGGTTTGGACATGGTTCAGTTTTTAATCTATTATGACCCCTTAATCTTCATGGAGAGGCAGATTTTTTTTTCTTTCTTTTTTGCTATACAGCTATTGTTAGACACAAAGGAGGGGAATGATAAATTCTGGGAATGAGCAAAGGTCAGGAACAGCTTCAGAGAAACTAATGCTTCAGCTTGAGTCTTCTCTCTTAATTCAGCAAGCAGAAGTTATTTTAAGTGACAATACATTTATAGTTGCACATGGAATCAATTTGAGAACAGCAAACCCAGAAAATGACAGGTGTTTCTCTTGGTCTAATGATTCTCTGTGGTTGCAAGTTTGGGAATTCTTTAGGGGCTAGTCAAGCCATCACCTGGTGTTGAACTACACCAGCATAATCAAACCACATACCAATAGTCTTCCTGATCTGATCTTCTGCCACCTTGAACTTTACGTAATCTCCAGAGCAACTGAACTGATCAGGATGGTGCCATCCATGCAGTGATCCAGGTATCCCTTTATCATGTTATATGTAGTAATCTAGGCCCCCTTTGCAAACATGCAAATTTGCTCCATTAGCTCCTTTCCAGGAGATTGGATGGAGACATTGAGTACTTGCAAGACTAGTGTGCAGGCCCAAGGCTGGGAAATGAGCCAGTCCCCAAAGCCCCAGATTGATAGCCAAGCAAGAGGTTTGCTGTATCTTTGTGCTCTTGCCAGCCCATTGAGATGCATTAAATTTCTCCTGAACCACTCTGCATTGGCTCTTACTTTGCTTGAAGACCGGAAAACCACACCTATCAGGGTATCACAAACAACTCTATATATTGAAGCAATTTCCATCATGGAGAACTCAGGGGTCTTATCTTTAAAATCAGAATGAAAGAGAGCTCACATGGCAGCCATCTTCAGTACACTATTTTCATAAACTTGTACAGTTGTTCTCTCTTGGACCCAACACCATTAAGGGCATCATGTAATCCATCAATAACAAAACATAAGAATACAAGTCCCAGAGTGACATCATTGAACTTGCTCCTCCACTCTGCACTGAGCATCAATTTGCCATTCCTCTCCAAAGCTTCAACCTTTCCAATCCCAGGTTACTCTGTCCCTGCAATACCTGGAAACCCCCTGAACCTTCCGGTGATGGACAAGAACTCACTGTGTCCCTCTGTCAAGGAGTCCTAGTCACTGTCATCTGTGGGGCCTCTTTCCTGGGTTTTTCATTTTCGTTGGTTCATGGGGTTTATAGTTGAGTGAGGTCTAAATTCTTTGTTGCAAAAAAAAAAAACAAAAAACTAAAAAAAACATTCCCTGTCAAATTCAGATGAGTTCCCCATAAACATGTATCATACAGCATGAGTGAAAACTTGTTGAATGAATAAAATGGAGGCTGGGGCAAAATGTATGAAGCCTTCAGTATCAGGTTAAGGTGTGGGCCTGGCTAAAACCTGGCCTGAGCTTTCTCTCTATTCCAGGTGGCATGGTACAATGAACTCCTGCCTCCAGCTTTCCACCTGCCCCTGCCAGGACCTACCCTGGCCTTCCTGGTACTCAGCACACCCGCCATGTTTGACCAGGCCCTCAAGCCCTTCTTGCAAAGCTGCCACCTGCAACTGTTGACCGACCCTGTGGACCAGTGTGTGGCCTACCATCTGAACCGTGTTAGAGAGGTGAGGAAGGTTCAATTTTCTCTTAGCTCCCAGACCTATAGCTGCCTTGAGCTCCTCTAAGCTCAATGTAGGAAGAGCTAGATCCAGAGCTAGTCACTTGAAAGGTGAAATGATACCAAAATCCAGCCTTGACAATCTGTGATCTCTCCCCATTCTGCCTTCTCACACCTAAGTTCCACTAGCTTCTTCTAGAAG